AGTAAACAAGGTCAGTGGCTACATCTGTCGGCAAAACTGCAACAGGATATGAATACTTTGGTACATGGCAAGCAATCATGTGATTACGAAAGTGGGCCTTAGGTCAAGCATTGTGACTCTACTGGACAACTGTGGCAGAAATGCTGCAATCCAAACAGACTTACAACAAAAGATGATTCATTGACACTGTCACATCAGTAAACAGGCTTTACTCACGAATTATCACTGCTTTTCTTCTACAGGCTCCTGTAACCGATAGAGGAAATATTCCATACGGCCATGTCGTGTTGGCATTTAACGCAGCCTTCAGGCATGAGTAGAGTTGTCGATTACAAGCTATGGAGTTGATATTCTAGGTTACTAAACCAGGCGACACTAAGGCACTGTAAACGGAAATCCGAGTGCAGAGAATGGAATAGGTTTCTGCGTTATGTGCTGCCTCACTCACCAAGTGCAATATAACATCGTTTTTGTGCAACATCCATTATTTAAAATAAGCATGAGAATACTGCCGCAGACTGTAGAATCAAAATTTGCCGAGTTTTGTAAGACACTGAAAAAGGAAGTTTACTTACCACTAGGAATGTCTACTAGCTGCCAGTCGTCTATATCGGTAGAAGAGTCGCAGGTCGGAATTTGTGAATTTGCTTGCCCCATCTTGTCTATTCCTCAGTCAAGCGCTCAAGTGTGGACGGCGAGAGTGACAGCCATATATTTACTGAAGGAAGCCAATGTTGTCGTTGACAAGGCCTTACCTTTCATTGGTATCTGCTGCCAACCAATCATGCCGTCACAAGTATTGATTCCTAACGTGACCTGAGCAAATGTGACAACCTTTTTGTCTTTGTGGTCGGATCGAGGTGGATTTGTGACACGCAGAGGTGTGAACTAGGCAAAGAGTAACACTAAATTTCTCACATCAATGCCTTGGGTTGCGTTGACATTTTGCTAGTTGGGTTTTTGTGGTGTGTTGTGCTCAAAAAATATCCTTTTTGTAAAACACAATCGGGCATGAACAATAAGAGCCATGTCTTTTGATTAAAAAATTGTGGCTAATTGTGTTGTTGTTAGCGTCCATTTAGGCTGCAGTCCTGTTGGAACGAATTGGTTACACCGAAGTAAAAGACCCTTAAAACAAGTTTGGAGCTGTTTCTCATTCTCAACTCTGGTTAGTTAACATTAGCTTTATTTCAAATGCCGCAGTAAAAAACCAAAATTGCATTTGTGTTTTGTCAACCAACTCGATGTTTTAAAGCACTCTCACAAAATTCTGACGCACAAATCTATACTAAATTCATCCGAAACAAGCATCAATTCGAACATATCAGCGCATGTTAATTATAGATAATAATTTGACAAGTCGTCAAGGCACAATTATTGTGTACAACTGAGAGCGTTTTAGTCAGATATGCTTATTTTATGCTAATGCATTTGGATATCAATGTTGGTAGAGCATCGTAGGAGCAAGTGAATGTAAAGCAAATAAATATATTAAACACGTTTTACTTTTCATGTCAAGTAGCCTAATGCAACTGTAATCCAAAGTTAATTGCTGCATAGGGACATGATGTACCACGCTTTGATCACTTTTGAGGCCAATGATGGGGACAAATAAAAAAACAGGCGATGCTATTAACATCACTAATAAAAATGGCTGGTAACTGAATAGGTGTCGTCGACAATGCCCACTCAAATCTCAGTCTAATCGTATAAAATCAAGGTAGCCAGTGGCGAAAGAGGAGTCTAGAATTAAGTTGGTTTTAACCGTTTTTAGCACTGATCATGCCGCATTCATTTGCCGTCTTTGATTGGTGCACTCGCATCGTTAATCCGCGAAAAGGAATTACAAGGCTTCTCAAAATCCCTTTGATATTTCGAGTTGTATGTCGTCTTAGCTCATCGATGCTAATCGTTGAACCAAATGAGGGAAGCAAACATGCTAAACTCACTAAACCTAAGCTGATTCTTCTTTTTTCGCTATTGTCCTAGGTTTCATGGCAAATAAATTCCCTGCATAAAACAAAATTTGAGTGTTCGTCAATAATATTTTAATCAGAATATTAAGGATTCAAATAAACGTGAAGGATGGACTTGCGAAATGAAAATAAGTTGCGTAGTTTTATTAAGATAAACAAATACTGTTAGACCGAAGCAATCCGTATTAGCGTCAGGAGGCTGTTTTGGACGACGATGAGTCATGATAATTAATCCGATCACACCATTTATCCGACGCCCGGCCCCTCTTTTCACAGCCGAGCGAAACCTGGGATTATCACGACTTGTGTTAGCGTATCTATGGCTCACGTTGTTTGACGAATCTAAAGATGAAAACACTCATGACAAAAAATTGACAACGACCTAGTCAAGCTCTCAAACACGGTCGTCGTATTATCTCCTTATTCTCACAATCCTTTATTTGGTACTCCCTTTTTATCTTACCGTAACAAGGCAATGCATAAATGTAAAGCTATTTGGAGTTAGTAACCTTCTCCTTGCCTCGTGACCTGTATAGTTTTGGCATTGATAAGGTTCAAAGGTGCCCGCAACTTGAGAAGGGATTGTTATACACGAAATGGCAAAATCTTGTGCGCGCCTGATGTTTTACGAGAGAATGTGTTTGTGGGTTGACAAAAGCTATAACAAGCAAAGGTTGTGTATTAGGGTCTTTTAATGAAATAAACAATGATAAGGCACCTTGTAAACTTTTTGGAGAATAGTGTCTCAAATGACAAATAACCGCTAAGCTGCTGTCCGTGGTAAAGAGTTTTGGTCTAGTTGTTTGAATTTACTGACTGCATTTTACTACTCACGAAAGTGAATTTCAGTTTGCTCTAGTGGTGTCCGTAGTGCAAACGGGTGCGTTGATCAAAGCAGCACTTTTTTAGATCTCGTGACCTCATATTTAGTGCTTCCTTATTCCGTAGGCGACGAATTGGTTAGAAATGCGGTTGTTCATGTTGCGACAAATACCGACTTACACTTTGGAAATTATTACGATTTAAGGCTCTAGAGGACCCCTAGTATATCATGACGATGTTTCAGTGCAGGTTTTGCTCTATTTTAAAACCTTATTTTGCATCGAGTCGAGTTGTCCATTCATCCAGTTGAGTCAGTGTCCGATTTTGTATGTGCGGATCAGTGCCTAAAGTGCAATCTCTATGAAATTCTATGATGTAGTTCTACATGACCAAAGTTGCGAGACACTGATACATTTTGTCTGTGGCCAATACCGAAAACGTAGATACCTGGTTCCCTAAATTCCTTGTCTGACGCTAGATTCCGTCCTGACACGTTGATGTAAGTCAAGACAATACGTCCTGCGAGAAACAACTAATGTCCCAGGCGAATGGTAAGGGGTCTGTCAGAATGTTTATACCCTAGTTAGTCAAGGATGGTGACCTAATTAATCAATCGAATTAACACTAACGAGCCGTCAGTAGGTTGCCCTAGATGACTCATCCACTAAAGTGGCGCGATCCGAGGTGTTAAGTAGACATTGACGAAATCCGGACATGCTATGAGTCGTTTTGGGAAATGGTGAATCCAAGCTACAGTTAAAGTGTTAGACAGCTAAACTAAAAAGAAATAAGTTGAAGTAATGCCAGCACAGCTTGTATTGCCTTCATCCAAGCATTATTTGCTAAATTTCGATTGTCTAGTTATCCACATTTATGCGATTTCAAAAAAATTGCGAAAACAAAATATTTCGTGAATCGTTATTGTTAAATAAGCGTTAGGACTAATCAACAGGTTTAATGGCAGCTACCCTCTAGCTACGCAAAATCTCCCAACCATCATTTGGTATGTGAACTTGGTGATGAGATTCGAAACGATTCTAAGGGATCACTGCAACGGTTCCTGCTTGTGCACTATTCTTCTTTTGTTTTGCTACCCCCACAGATTCTATACTCACCAACACAATGCTGGTAATGACATCGTCTCATTAACGTTTGCATTGAATGTCCCTAGTATATCGGTTACCCTTATTCTGAACCAGTTAATGAGGTATCACATAGTAAAACTAGAGCTTATTAGGAGTGTGAACGCAAACGAACTCGATTCCTATTATCACGATGAAGTTCACGTATAGCTGTCTAGAGACAACCTAAAGCGATCCGTGAACGAGTTCTAGGTTGACGTGACAGCGGATAATGCTCCCGTGACTGTAACATAATTTTAGCATTCAAACTTCGTCATTATGCCAGACTGGCAGTGCCCAAACGTCAATCAATCAGTCTAAAATCGTTGTTCGGCAGTTCATTTCATGAGTCATTTCACCACTTTGAAAGAATACCGCACAACATATCCCATGTAATTCTTATCCCTATTGCTTTAGTACTCATTTCTGCTCTACTCGACTTAACTAAATTTCGCCATAAGCATTCAGTTACACATTTTGTTCCACTGAAATGCTCCCAGAAAATCATGGAAACATTTCAAACTTATGAATCGGCTTGCAAGGCGTCAGAGCTTGCTTGCTAATTTGTAGACTTGTCTATTAATTTGGCATTAGCTTACGGTTGACTGAGCGTCATTTCCTAACTTCAATTGAGACACCATTGAAGCCATAATCGTAGATTCACATAGATGTTAACTTTTTTCCGCATAGCTTTGCTATGATCCCTGGTGTAACTTGCAAAATATTCCAATACCATGGACACACCAAAGATAGTTAATAACACCGATTTTGTCATATATTTGTCATAACGTTCACACTAGCCGTCAACGCAGTTTACAGGACAAAAATATCCAAAAAAACAAACTTAAGACAGGCTGAAGCTGCTGTGATCGTTTTATTTGCGTCAAATCAGGTCAGGTCACGTAGCGCGTTTTCGCACCAGATTAAGTTACCATGACTCATGGCTACTGCGAACAACCAATGAGAGAGGAGGATGTGTTATCGGTCCAACCGGCCTCCGTCGTTGAGCCTAAGCGCACCTACATAATCACGCGCACGTTACATCGGAGGACAGATTCGTGACTTGAACAAAGCATTGGCGATGGAACGACGATCTTCGGAAACCTCGTTTAGCGTGGAGAGCGTTTCCGACGCGGAAAGCTGGGATCTCCTTGACAGCTCAAGTGGTGAGTGTGCGTTCATGTTGTATTCACTGTCGCATTCAACCTAGCGAAGATTTCATGTCACTGTCTTTGCTGATATTCAGTAATCAAGGGTATATGCTGCATGATTATGACGACACGAAAGTAAATATTATCACACCATTCGCGTTTATTAGTGCAAGATAATTATATTTGCAGTCCTACTTTAGATAGAATGCCAGAACAGATTAAATAGGCCTGAGGCATGGTGTTGTGAATCATTTAACGTTAATTTATATATCATGCAAGTGGCCAATATATTTTATGTGGAAATTTAGCTAGGATAGTTTTTTACATTTTTGAGAAGCAAGTAAATCGGTCACTAAAAGCAATAAATTTTATCCTGTGTAACTACAAAACACGTGTTGCGATTGCGTTCCTACAATTTGATGGTCATACTTTTTTGCCCTTACTGATTAAAATTAATTATGAGGAACTTAGCCTTTCTCTTGAGAGGGCGATTAAAACCAATCAGTGTGTACTAAATCGTAAACAATGTTGTGTTAATAAAGTGATGCTCATTTTGACTAACCAATTTATTCCATCCTCGAATCTTGGAGTACTACAATTTCGACCACCGTGATGTCCCAAGTCTTCGCAATTTACAGCATTAAATCCGTAAATTTTAACTGCTGCCTTCTCTTATGTGCAAAGATTCTCTACGCATATATAGATCATCTTGATTGCAATGAATGTTGTGTATTGCGTGTTTGGGGACGCATTGTGACCATTATGACCGTAAAGCACGTATTAATTATATAGGACACACCAAGTGCCCCAATGTGGCAAGCAGTGACCTGCAGGAATGGCCAATGTCAGCCGATAATGTGCAGATATTTAACTTCTGCAATTCAATCCAATTTCGATGTTTGCCTCAAACTAGTAATATGTAAATCGCTAGTCTGCTGTTTATGTTCAACACTGTCCGTTGTGCTCAAATAAACAACCACATAAATCCGTACTATCAACACAATAAGTTATTAGGCCTGATGACATTAACAGACAGTCTACAAAAGAATTCAGCGCTTTCGCTTGTTAAATTATTCACACATATTCGATGTAGGCCGTAGGCTTTAACAAGAGATGATGTTGAACTACCTATGATACCGAAAGTGCTAAGCAGTTCTCCCTACTCTCGTTGTGTTTATAATTTTTTTTTCAAGTTAGTGCCTCAAACACTGTATACTAATGGTAATCTTAAGCTTATTCCCCTACTAGATGAGTCGACTGGAGATGCAATAAATCAAAAGCCAACTTCACTAAAAAGTGCGACGTCTAGCTTTAACGTGGCACCTAAAGGAGAGATTCAGGAATGCGCTGTGGAGGAGAAGAAACAGCAACGGCGACCAGAGAACAGCACTATACCACCACCCAAATACCAAGCTCCACAATTCACTGGAATGCAGGGATACAAAGACGGCGCTTCTTACTCTGCTACTCCACCTTCTTGTAATTCCGCGATGCACCTAGGTATATTCCACTTTGCCCTTTCAAATGGAAATAGAACTGTAGTTGAGCACTTCGCGTCGAGTTTCACTAAGGTTCTTGTTGATCCTTATAAATGAAAGAGGTAATCTAGCTCACACGCGCAAATCCATTTTGACGTCAGTGTTTCCTGTCTTGCCGGATTCGTTTATGATTTGGAAATACCTTTAAATTTGAACATGCTTTCGCAACAGGTGGAAATGTATATGGAAAACTTTGAAAGCAGTTGTATGTGCCTGTACAGCTAACGATAATAACGCATATCGGACATCAATCTGGTTGACAGTATTGGCCGTGTGACAGCCGTTTAAGTCACTCAATATCTTCTAGAACGCACGCTTCGCTGTTTTTTTGAAATAATGCTAAATTTCACTAAACAACCTATTCCATCCTTGAATCTTGGAGTACTACAACTTCAATCACCGTGTTGTCACAAGTTTCCGCTATTTTAAACATCAAATCCGTTGATTTTAAATGCTACCTCCAATCAGGTCTAGGGAATCTCTTTATTTACATATAAGGCGTTCTGATTGCAGGAAGATTGGTGCATAAATTTTGTGTTTTGCGTATTTGGGGACGTCTTCTGACCAAACGTTAATAGCTTAAGATACACCAACTGCCCCGATGTGACAAGCAGTAGCATGCCAGGATGGCCAATGTCAGCTGACAATGTGCAAATAATTAACTGCTGCAATTCAAACTCGTTTCGAGGTGTGACTCAAAATGGGTAATGTGTGCATCTTAAAACGCCAATTTAACATGAACCATAATATTAATAGAAAGTAAAAAGAAGACATCGTCTTTTTGCCAATATAATAACGAACACATCATCGATGTAGGTCAAATGCTTCAACTGGTGATGATGTGAATACACAACCTTAGTAACCGCAAACCGTAAAGCAGTTATCACTACTCCCTTTCGGTTTGGCAATATTTTTGAAATGGGTTCCTCAGACAATATCAACTAAGGGTAATCTTGAGCCCATTTTTATCTAGATGAATCGACTGGCGCTACGTTAAATCAAATGCCAACTCCATCGACAAGTGCGTTGGCTAATATTAATGTGGCACCTAATGGACACAGGAAAGAACGCAATGTGAACATGGAGAAACAGCAACTGCGACCAGAGAACAGCACTATGCCACCACACATGTGGCATGCGCCACAATTCACTGGAATACAGGGACACAGTTATAGTTCTACTCAGCCTGCTCCTACTGCATCGCATAATTTCGCTATGGGTCCAGGTAAAATTTCGTTTGTTTTGTCCAATGCCTTTATTAAAACTGTGTAGGGCGCATTTTGTCTAATTTAATCAAAGGTTTATGTTGATTCTTTTACCTGGATAAGGTAATATGGTGCACACGAGCAAATTAACGTCGACATCTATGGTTTATTCCTTGTCAATTTTTTTCGTAATAAAGATGTACCTCAAAATGTGAAAATGCTTACAGAGCAGGTTAAAATGTACGCAGTAAACTCTTCAAAAGTTAGTTGCATGTGCTCGTACTGATTACAAAGAAAATGCATAAAGGACATCAGTTTAGTTGTTTGTGTACTCTGTTACGTTCGTTTATGTCACTCCATGTGCACTAAAACATCATGTTCGGTGCATTAATCGTGAGGCTCTGCCTTACTAACCGAACTACGCCATACCCAATTTCGTGCACCCATTTTTCACGTTTATGCAATTTTTTTGCATTAAATCCGTGCCCTAAACTTATCGCTTCCATTCTCGCCTAAAGATTTTTTTTATTGACATGCAGTTAGTCTCGAATAGGGGAAAAAGGCTGCATATAATGTTTCGTTTTGAGTATATGGGACAATTTTGTGTGACTGCTATGCTTTGGAGCCATCAACTACTCCACCTGGCAAGCAAAGACATGCAAAATTAGTCAATGTCAGATATTAGATTTATAATATTTAATTACTAAAATTTTTATCATATTTCGAGGTGTATGGGAAACTGAGTACTGTGGATGCTTTGTTATCTGCTGTTTATGTTTAACATTGCCCGTTTAGTGCAATAATTAATCCTGTAAATTCTTGCTATCGGGGTCCAAATTTCATATGTATCAAGAAATTGACAGACAGACAGATGACATAAGACTTCAGCGTTTTTGCGATTTAAATGATTGGAACTGCTTTGACATAGTTCGAATGCATCAACTTTGAACGATGTAAGTGCATCACGTATGCTTTTTCTAAAGCGCTAATCATTCATCCATACTCTTGTTGTCTATGGTACATTTTGTGAAATCGGTGCTTCGAACAATGTCAGTTGAGAGTAAACTTAACCCCTTTCTTTTTCTAGATGAATTAAATCGATCCGCGTTGAACCAGAATCCAATTTTGACTGCGCGTGCGCCGTCTTGTTATGAAATGACACCTCTTTGTGAGATTATAGCACCTCAGCTGTGGAACATGAACCAGTTATGGCTGCAATTTCTATCGTCGCTCACTGCTTATTTCCCTTTATTTACAGAACCTTGCAATTCCACTTTACACCCAGGTAAATCTGAGGAGTTAGTGGATTAAAAGGTCCGTGCTTGTTGGCTCAAAATGAGGGTCAAAATCTATTCAGAATTCTACTAGTGAATACGATGAAGTTCATTCATGTTTTAGTAAGCACATCAAGAGCTCAATTACTTACCCATAGCATAATTATGGCATTTGATACATTTGTAGGCTTTGTATATTTACTGACAAAAAGAGTTTCTTGTTATCAGCTTCATAAAACACGGCTTTTCTAAAAAATAAATGAACTTAACTGCAGTTTGTATGACAAAATAACGACCACTCTCAAACAAATTCATCAATTTTGGCATCAGCTACTACAGCTAAATTCCCCCATTGTAGTAACGCTTTGAATGCCAACTATTGCGTTGTGAAAGAAAACCAGTTTTTGACTTATGCAATGGTTTTGACGTTTTAAGAAGCAGTCGTATTGCTTAGCAGGCATGCTTATTAACAGTGTTTCTTTCCATGTTGTGCGGCTTTGCGTGAGATGTCAATGAACGCGTAAGAAACAACTGGGCGTTTAGCAATAAATAGTAATGAATCTTTCACATAGGGAGGTCAGGAAACAAGCTTTAATCACTCTAGATAGGAAATATGTATTGCTTCGCAGGCATGTTTACTGATTGGGTTTTTGTTCATTTTGTCTCGATCTCTATCAGCTGAGAGCACGCGTAAGCCCAGTTCCCTTCTTAATGGGTCGAATCCAGCAGTGTGGAACCAGAATCTAACTTTAACGGCGAATCCGTTGGCCTCCGTTTTGGTGATGCCTCAGGGGAAGATTCAAGAATATGAATTGGAGAAGGAAAAGCAGCTACTTCAACCAGACTACCCCACTATACCACCGCCCATGTATCAGGCACCCCAATTCACTAGAATGCAACGACAAAATAACATTTCTTATCAGCCTGTTCCTGCTGCATCGTATAATTTCGCTATGGGCCCAGGTAACTTTTGGTCTGTATTTCCGAATGCCTTAATTCTACTGTTTTAAGAGCTTTTGCGTCTGATTTTATCGAGGTTTTGTTTAATCCTTGTAAATCCATTTCGACATCTTTGTTTTTTTGATAGAGAAATACCTTTAAGTGTGAACATGCTATCACTAGAAGTGGAAATTTACTCAAAAAACTTATCATCAGCTTATAGACCTTACGATTAAAACGAATAACAGACGTCTTTCTGGTGGTCAGTTTAGACCGTATTACAGCGATTTATTCCTCTCTAGATGCACTTAAACCCAAACTGATTTTTTTATGAAGTGAAATACGCTATTACGTTTTGGCTTTCTGAAATCTGGCTGAATTCGAAATCGCTGTAAACACAAACCTATACAATTTTGTGTGCATGCCTTAAGCCTTAGTTACGCTTTTTCCTTTATACAAAATCAGTCTTCTCTAAGTCTAGTTCAACGATAAGTGCCCTTCAAAATCGTCTAGAGCAGACAATTGTTGGCACATTCGATCGGTGTACGTTGACCAAAATCTCTTTTACTCCCAGTGCCGTGTTTTCTAGTATCATGGCCTGTCTGAAAACCATGGTTGCTCTCAGGCGGTGTTGCCAGACAATATCAGGACTTGGTGATCGCCTTTAGTTACTCATTCAACTGTCTTCCTTATTCCTGCCTTTTAATAATCTTAATTTTTGCTACTACTAGAAATCTTGCTTATTATTCATTAGTGGAAAATGCGTTTAGAATTATGTCCCACTTTCCTACATTGACATTCGTTTGCTACATTTAGGATTAGAGGGTTCGTATTAGCAATTGCAGTCAGTCCTATCTTGTGACCCATCAAAATCAGAAAAAAGCAATTTAATACTGAGCTTATACCGTTTGGATGACAAATGTGTTTGCTAATCCAGATTGTAACAACATGTATATGCTAATATGCTCATTAGAGAATGTGGAGTAGAATTATTGCAGAGCTATTAATGATGAGTCTGTAATAGTTGCTCGTACTTAAATTCTTTGAACTAAAAATGTCTCTTTTCTGTGTCAAAACGGCTAGCGGTTTGATGCTTCACATAGCAATTGGTAAGAAACTGACACCTAAAATCAATCCTCTTCTTTCCACCTTTTTTCGTTGTTAATTGTAATAGGCAGACTTACTTATATGCGTGGTCTTTGATGGAGGCCAATTAATACGTGGCTCACCCTTAAATGCCCAAAGGATATCGCTGCATGCTTCAGCGAGGTCTTTTGGTTTGGAAAGACGGTATTCATACACAAATGAAACCACCACTGGTGGAAATATTATTAATAATTTCGACTACTTATCCAAAATTAAAGCGCAAATCTTAGGTGCAATCAATTGACCTGTTTATTAGATGTGATGGTGTTCAAACTAATCAATCATATTCTTATGTCTGGTGAACATGTTTGTATTAGGCAAGTTGAATTCGGAATCATGCAGCTAACATGAATTCAGTTGGATTTGCTTGAATTCTGAACAAGAGTTTATATCGGAGGGGCAGCTTCTGTGTAGTACCGGCACTTAAGGGCAGAATCCAAACCATGTGTTTGGTATTTATGCACCAATTACCTATGAAATTTATGTGAGCATGCCGATGACAGTGTGCTGTTTCTGTCTCTATCGCAACCATTCAAATGCCGATTTTTCATTCAAAGTGTCTGTGCCTCCACGGCCTCATTTGGATCAATCACTCCAAATTTCGCCTTCCATTGCAGGCTTTCTTCACCAAGGAACACCGACGTTGTTGAGATCAATTAATGCTGCAGATGCCACGCCAAGGGAACCACAAAGTAGCCAGAACGTTGCACAAGTTTCGCCTGTTGCTAGCAACCACGGAATATCTTACCCAAACACCTACACGACTAATGGTTTTCCAGCATGGTCACACCACCAGTAAGCAGTGCAACTAAGTAAAATTTCACGTTAGCTGTTATTGATTACAAGTTAGCTGGTTGTATTTTGTTGTAAACAACGTCTTGAGATGCATCGAGGATCGATGTGTCGTGTTTAATTAGGCCAGTAAGATCACATTGCACATTGCTTGATAATCGTTTTTCCTACAATTACTAGCATTGTTTCAAATAAACATCAAAACTGTGCCTCTTTTACATGAAGCTAAATTGATTTTCATTGAAAGAGACTTAATTCAACAAACATCTATCCAATAAATTATTTTTTAGCTTAGCACACCAACACTAGTGGTGAGATATGTCCACCAAGGATGTTAGGTTCTAGTTGTGATTTTGCAGTGTTTGTATTGTAAAGAACCAAATATTTACGATATCTTCACAAACTCCATTTATTGGACTAGCATTTAACTTGGAAAGTGACAATTTGCTTGATGCGGAATGGTTTGTCTCAGCTATTGCTTTATAGTGAAATTGCAATTTCAAGATAAAGCCAGTGCATACGAATAAGTAATTGCATGCAACCCTGTATTTCATGCAAACCTAGTTTACTGAACTAGGTAATTCACGATGACACATGCAAACTTTAATATTCTGACTCATTGCCACGTTGATTTAATTTCTGTTGCTTTACAATACACTTAAAAAAGAGGCCACACGGTATGCTAAATATGATCAGTAGTTTTGTCTCAATTAAATATGTCCCTTGTGTCTTAGATCGAACTTTGCAAGTGACAATTTCCACACGGTGAGGCCCAACATCTTTTGTGCTCCAACTGGTCAGTCAATTGATATGCGCGACAGAATCTTGCCTCAAGCCACCGTAGGTTAGTGCTACTTCCTTTGACAAACATATCTTTTTGCCTAGAAATTTTTAAATAAGGTTTACTGTTAGTATTCTGTGACTCGGAAAAGGACTCGAGCCAAGAATTCAGGTCGAAATCATGGGTCCTGTAACGATTTTTAATTTGCATTTTTTTAGAGATGCCAACCACCAAAACAAACTCTGTTTCTATTTCCAATCGCAATGCGAACTCCGGCATCGATTTTCAGACTCTGCATGAACTCACTAGGCGTCTGTGTCAAGTCATCAAAACGCTAATGCAACTAATTGACGTTGACACGCCGCTGGATGAATTGATTGACGTGTGTCAGGCTATGAAGGCCATTTTAAAAGCTATTTACCATATTTGGCGTGTGCACAAAATCTTCTCATGACTTAGTGCACATCATCTGCTCTTGCCCGAAACACGACCTTTATTATCACAATTCAACTAGCCACGTGTTTGGGTTTTTCTACTGACTGTTTGGAAATAAAACTTGTCGTCTGGTGTATTGTCTTATGGATTACTGTGATTATTTGATGCAAATGGATTAAGTCGGCCCAAAAGCAGCATTCTGTTTTAGATCGAAATTAATACTGAGCTGTGCCACGTGGCAATGAAGTAAGCTAAGTTGCTTGATGCAGCAAGAAAAGACCCGGCCACGCGGGAGCGTTAAATGGTTCCGATGAAAAATTACTGGAATTAATGCAAAAGTAATCTCAAGACCAGTTCTATATACGCACTTACTACTTTCTCTTTAGTGCGGGTGACTGAGTTTCTATAAATTTCTCCCAATTTCGGTTTTAAATTTTTAACTAGATGGACGTTAATGTTAATAACTACCTTCGACATGTATATAAGGTCGTACTTGAATCAGAAATCGAGCACCTGAATGACCATCACCACACATTCAAAAAACTGCATTACATTCATTACATTGCAGTTCTGTTATAGTAGGCTGTCGTAAAACCTCGAGTAAAATTGATCGTACCCTCTTTTGTTAGCACATGATGACCCCCAAGCACCTGCACTCATTTAAAACACATATGAGTAAGCGCCACTTTACGCAAATGCAAGACAAAATGTGACCTTCCGCAGGAAAACTGTAATGTCTCAAAAAGATGCTTAATGATCAGTCGAACTGTTAACACTAGTGTAAATCAAGGGTAGCGACTCAATGAACCAAGGCGGATTGACATTACTGAGATGTTAATAGATTGCCGTAGGTGACTCTCACTGAAGTGGCGTGATTAAGAGAAATGTTTGTGAGAGAAGGTCAACATCCTAACGCGTTGTGAACCTTCCTTAGGAATGCTGGACCCCAAATTCTGGAAGGGACTTTGATCTTTTTAGCGAGACAACACCAAATACGATCGGTCTTGTTTTCATTCATCGGCGGAATTACTCATCATCGCAGGTCTATACCGTAGATTCCAGTTTTTGCCAAAAAATCCATGATGATGATGACCCTGAAAACAGCATTCACGATGGGATGATGGTTGCTTTCCTGATATAAACGCCCTTTCATAGACAAATGACCTGCGAAATGCAAACTCGAGTTTCGTTATTTTATACGTGAGTAAAATCAAACAACACATTTTCTTCAAATCCAAGAGGCAGCATTTTGACAATGTTAGAGATATGATATACACATTTGTTTGCTGCCGGAGCCAAATGACAAGCTTGCAGCTACGTTTCCGATTGAAGATTCCAGTTCGAATTGTGCTTTAGAGTGATAGATGGTACGTTGGCCCACATTTCCACTGCTCTTCAACGGTTACCAGCGAGACAAAATAGTCACTTGGATCTTGCCATCTGACACGATTAATGCGCTTAGCCATGCACGCTAGGAATCCGTCAGGCCAAATCCGGACCACTTCTTCCTTTATTTTGTTCACGTCTGACAAATTCTGTTATAGTTGGTATTTAGTTTACAAGAAACTAGCAAACTTTTTGATCGTTTTTTCTCAAATCTATGTATCCTAATGCTTTGTGTCTTAGGAAAAAGATCATCTTTAAATTGGAGTTTGGGTTACGTTTTAGACATGTGTGCGAAGGCTAGTTACTGGGCCACCATTCAAGATGCTGCTGTGAATAGCATTGATTCAAACTGGACGATCAGGTCACTCCAGTCTACGGCACATGGTCCCACATTTAGCAGCATGTCGGTAACTCTGTGAAGCCTTAATTCCCCCTTCAATAGCGCGTGACCGACTTGGTTAAGCTCTGATGTAAACCGTTGTGTCCACGTCCTCCCCGGTTATTTTCTTCCTCACAGGTTGCAGGGAAGGTTAATTCAGCCAGGGTTAATTCAGTGCCCCGGCGTGGTTCGAAACCACATGCTTTTGCCCACAACAATGCTCAAAATACGTATAAACAGCATAAGCATTAATGCATGCTATATAAACCTTCTAAAAATACCGGGAATAAGAAGCCTTTCCCTCTTTGGATTTTCTTGGGAAAAAAGGATCTAAAGACATAATAAATCCCATTTTGACTAATTAAAGAAGATAATTTTTCAGGCGCCCAGACTTGTCAAATAGTTTTCGCAATAAATATATATGAAAATAAATAATTTAGTTCAAATATACATTCTAAAATACTAAACTGGAAGATGGGTATTAAAATTAATATGTGCGAATTGCGGTATCGACATGCAGTTCATTAACACATAAAGTCTGATTATGCCGTTGTTGCACTCTTAAAGCAAATCTCTCCAGTTCAAAATCTGGGTTGTCAAAACAATGGTATTTGTTATGCTTTATGCATCTGACATACTCGAGCCATTGCAAATTGTTATGACTAATTTAATTTTTGTCTTGATTAAGATAATGATTAACTCTGCTCTTTGAACAGACGATATGTAGTGTAGTTTGATGTGGTGTGGCGACGTATCAGGGAGCAGACATGTTGGACCACCTGGCCGCAGCCAATCCTGTGTCCCTCTGCGTTCCAATGGCTTGCGAGGAAGTGATGCAGCCAACCAGAGAAGGACACGACTGAGGAGCAGTATAGAATGAGCGGCGTGGCCAGCGTGGCGGACTCGGATGGAAGGCGCCAGACGTGTGGCTCTGGCTTCTGATTGGTCAATACAGCCTGTTCTGTTGTACCAGTTTTTTTTCCTTTTAGGGCTCGGGTATTCTGCAGTGGTTACGTATAAGAACGCAGACATATTGGACACTGGCCTCTGCCAATCCTCTGTTACCTTACGCTCGAATGGCATAAGACGTACAGCCAACCAGAGACAGACACGAATACGGAACAGTTAATAACGAGCGATTTAGTGTATTAGACTCTAGCCCCAAGACAACAGAAGAGGCTTTCAGAGCAATCAGAAACCAGAAAAACAAGTCAGGCGCAGTCCATCAGAGTTTACCACACTGGCTTCGCCCCTCGTTATATGCCAATTTCCAGACGTGTTTGTCTCTGGTTGGCAGCCTATCTTCCTCGCATGCCATTGGATCGCAGAACGACACAGGATAGGATTAAGCCAACAAGTTCTAAAATGTCTGTGCCAATATACGCCGCTACTGTAACACACTTGAGCTATGGTATGAAATTGAGCAGCTACATCATAAGGATAGACTGTTAGATTTAAAAAAAGAAAACTAGTAGATTTAATCAGATGTAATCCATACTACCCTATACAAATGTAGTGGGACTAGAAATTTTGGGAGAATGTTAGTGTTTGGATGGGACCAGGATGGGCGTTAAGAGAGTCAAAGTTCCGCCGCGACCCACAAATGTGTCATGAGAAAGGCGGTATTGAATAAGAGGGGTCAGAGCAGAAGAGACTGGCGTGACGTTATGAATTTGAACCTGACATTTGCTCTATTCTGGCTGTAATGAAAACCGTTCTATTCATCATTTACTCTTGCTCTTAAGATTGGCCTGCGACCCACATGCCAGGTTAACACAATAAGCTGCTAAGTTTCGATTTCGATGATGGTTTCGAGAAGTGGCTTGAGAATATGTACGAGTTATTGGCGTCCGTGTATATTCAGCCACGGATGAGCAAAGCCATACGACATTTTTTCTCTACAGTGGAGTATTGAACAGAAACGGTCGATCGACATGCCATTCGATTTGCGGAGGGACAGGTTGTTGGATCTGTTCTCTGGTGAAATCGTTGGGTAGCTAGAGAAGCTCAGCAGACGTCGATGCTGCAAAGGAAAAGACGTCATCGAATACATGGCCGAGATTTACAGTTTGATCAGGAGGACCCACAAGCAAGCGTTTCGTGTGGATGTACTCATGGAGGCAAGGTTTTGATTTCCCTACCTGGCCTATCGCACCCTGCCCCAAAATGTCAACACCAACGAAGCAACAGGTTCTAGGAACCACAATATTAGCGTCCCAGAGCATTCTTGACTTTCAAACACTGCAATGGACCAAGTTTCAGTAAACTCAGAGGTGCATCTGTTTTATGCGCTGCCATTAATTCGTCATGGCTAGGTACCAGGCTTTTCCTATCTGTAAGTTAATACGATGCGTCAATGCATTTAGTAGTGGGTTCAAGTTCCATGTGACGATTGATTTAGCCCAAAACAGTTTCCTGAGTAGACGTTTAAACAGTACCAGGTGAAGTCGTCGATTAGAATTAAGGCAGATAACGGTACCTTGATGGATAGTAGAAAGTGTGATCTAATTTTCAGATTAATCACTGACCCATCAAATAGGGTTATTAGGGTAATGCTTTTGTGATTGATCGCACCTACTTTAGAATTAAGCGCAACGTGTTGGCATTAGTGTATTCGTTAGAGCATTACAAGCACTATTTTCCAAGCAGTAAAATTGTGATCTGCACACACCGTCAGGACTTGAGGTGGTAATGAAGCTTCAAGAAACAAACGGACATTATTGCGCGGGGGCTAGGTGTAAGACGACAGTTTAACTGAAAGGTGGATTGCCAATTTGGTAGGGAGCATGTGAATGCCGACGCTTTTTCGTACAGAAGCCGTAGCTGCCATTTCAATGAAAAACTACTCTTTAGAATTGGGATTCAGCTCAATTGGACGTTCCTTGTATAGGACATCTGTGCGATTGGCTATGAACAGGCTCACTCAAGCCGGCCCACAAGGAGATTGAAGAGCAATAACTCTGTGCTAGCGCATCGATGGTGTGTGGGTGTACCAAGAACAGCCGTGGAAAAGACCGTATCCAAAATACACGTTATTCTGGACAACAGCTGACCAAACTGCTCGTCAGCGCTATTGGTGGCAGGCCTTGCGGGATGATATAAACGATATTTGTGCAGGTCATCATTGCTGCGGAGCAATTAAGTCCTCACCTCTTGCGTCCAGAGCCGCACTCCAACCCATGACAGCAGGCTTTCCAATGAAACTCATTTGGTTAGATCTCACGGATCCCTCACTCGAGCAGTATGTCCTCGTT